CTAATGTTCCAGTCCCATGCCCTATATTATATCTTGGAAGTAGCTATTCGCCCTTGCTGAAACCATCGCTAGGGAATCGGTGACCCACCCCTTCTGACGCCTCTTACCGCATCTTCCCCGCTGAAAGCACTTTGCCCCCTCATAGTGTTTCTGTCCCACACTCTGTGTCATACCTTGATCCAACTTTCGCCTGCTGGGACCGGCGCTATGAATCTCGTGACAACAGATAGACGCACACACGCAGATACTTATCAGATTCTGCATTGTAGGATACCTCGATTTGATACAACAACATGGATTGGATCGTATTAGGTTGGCGGGAAAGTTCTGTCACTCTTTTCCGAACTCAAATTACTTGCCCATTACCAAGAGTGGTAACCGGTAATGTAAGCTCTTATACAACAAGGAGTGGTCTCTCTGTTAGTACCACTCGCTTGCCTCTTGCTCCTTCTTCTGCAATATGCACAAGGATTTTATCCGCTACCATCAGCCCCGACCCATCCAACAACTTCCACAAACTATTTCACCCACCACCCTGACGCCAGCGTGTTAGCTGCAGATGCCAAATTGATGGAGCTGAATAAGCACGATGCCCCCAATCATCGAGCAACCTTACCACGACAGTGACGCTTCAAGGCGGGAGCCTAGGGAGCCTACAGTTTTGATGACGAAGTGAGGTTTGGGTTACCTGCAAACCTCAGCTTGAGGGAGCTATGGGTCGGGAAACTGCTGGATGAAGAAGCTGCTTCCTTGGTCAAGGCGTACGCAAAGCAGCTACGAGATCTAAGGCGTATCGTGGATCAGAGGGAAAAATTTGTCCGCACAGCCGGCCCTCACCAAGATAGTGCAACGCACTTGGTCCAAAAAAGTTCGAGCCGTACCTCATGCAATGGAGCTTGATCTCTCTCCCCTTGCACTTGTGTAGCACAGACATCGCCCCTTCTAATAGCAAGTTGCCTTCCGTAATCGATCGTTATGCGGACGAGAAAACCTCCATAACCCAAGTTCAAGTCGAAGTTGAGATGGTGTCCAACTTTGCGTCGTGTCTCCCTGCATAGTGAAGCGATGGCATCCATGAGGTGCTCAAACACTGGCAAGGACCCCGCAGTAACATGCTGTACAATTTTGATCTTACACTCCTCTCTATAAAAAGAAAGCCTAGTTTGAAAAAAGGTGACAGAACTTTCCCGCCAACCTAATAAATATGCTAGCGGTTGAGCACTTATCTTTTCCTCTTATCGCTTTCACTGATGCCTTCATGCATTTGTTTCCATCGCTGCTGAGTGCGTCTGATCGTGTGTTCTACCCTCACCCGATAGCACCCTTTTCCCCCTTCCAACCCCCACCACCCTTCCCCCGCTCTTGCACGTGCTCACGTCAAACTGCCAGGCGTGCAATATGTACATTGCGCATGGGGCTCGCAACACACCAAATGGTTGCCTTGTATAGTGAACCGGGTTACCATATTCAAAACAACACCTCCAACTGATACTATTACATGGAATGGATCGCAGATCTGCTAGCAGTTGATATCACGTGTATTCCTCTCGCTTTCACTGATGCATTAATGCACTTGTTTCCACCGTCGCTGTATGCTTCTGTTCGAGCACTTTCTACTCTCCATCCTCTTAACGTAGCCCCACTACCCCCCCCCCTCTCGGATAGCTACTGCGCTAGTCGGTTGACTTCTCTATTTTTTCTCTCTTCAGGTTCAAGTGATGCATTTGCTTTCACCTTGGTGTGCCTCTCTTTGAACACATTCAACATCCCTCAACCGTCTCTCACTAACCCACCCCCACTCTACCCCCCCCCCCCCCTATCGCACCATCCTTAACCCCCTGCACGTGCTCACGTCCAGCTGCCACGCGAGCAGCTCGTGCAATGGCTCGGAGTGCGCTAAGTGGTTGTCTTATATATGAGGATGTTATCACAATCAAGACCTGGGATTGATATATCTGCACAAATTGCACATTTTAGCAATCTGAACTCGACTGAAGCAAGAGCACCCGGCGAAGCCAGGCTGGTTCGGCAATATTGTGGTGTATCGCTCGACGACAGCTGCTTCTGCTGCTCATCATGAACATTTATCCTTTACTGGAACTGAATTGGTCCAGCGGTCGAATATAACGCCACGCTCATTAGGTTGGAGAATAAAGTCCCGCGACACCTTGGCCAATTTTCGGTTTAAATTTTTTTCCTTCGCTGAAAGAGACCTCGAATCTGCGAGCTAGGCGAGCTAGTCACCATTGGTAGCTTGAACTAACGCCCACATTCTGCACAGCTTCCCATTTCCACTCTTACGAGGACTACGGTGACACGACAAGAAGAACAGGTGAACTCCATTTCCATCCAGACGTCGGTTTTCGGAATTTTCTTCTGATTGATGGTTGCGGTAGGGATTAGAGGAGGAGGTATACTCGAAATCCCTGAGATCGGGTAGGCGTGGCCGCATTCTTCAACTTAACCTGAAGGTGTCTATGCTGGTGGAATATTTCATCTTGACACAACTGTTGTCGTGTCTCTGTCCAACACAGAACAAGATGACAGTTGTCCCAGACTGGAATATTCCACGAGTAACCAGTTCCGTGCCATGTTCGAATGCCACGCCTATCGTGGCTCAGGGATAAGGAGTGTAATTAGATGCTGCTGACGTTGGTAAATAAGCTAGGTACAGTCGCACCCTGCTCGAGATCCATGATCTTTTGGCGTGAATCCTCACATGCGTTCTTAGCATTGACGAGTAGTAAGAAAGGACGCTGTCTGTCGACGGGGGGGGGGGGGGCATTTTGCAGTTCCGGTTTACATGTCTCACTCTGGCGAAACCTGTGAACTCTTGTGAAGCTGGAACAAGGTAGTCAAGCCATCATGTTAAAACCTGTCAACTCGAGAAGAGGCTGTCTAGATAGGCCGACACGTCGATGGGAAGTAGCAAAAGTGCAAAATGCCCCCCCGTCGACAAACTGCGCCGTAAGAAAGTATGATTCCTATATGAACTCAAGCGTGACCTCGTCCATGCTTTAACTTATTAGTGTAGGGTGTAGCCGTCATTGCTGTGGCTGGTTCTGAAAATGTTTGAAAAGGTGATAGTCGGTTGGTGAAAGGTCTGGAGAATATGGCGGGTGAGGTAGAACTTCAACCCCCAATTCGTTCAATTTATGGATAGTGATTTGTGAAACGTGTGGGCGGGCGTTGTCATGCATGAAGTCGGACCCCTCAGGATAACGAGCACGTCTCGAGGTTTTCTCTTCACTGCTTTTGCGCAGCAGAAACGACCCGTTTTTGGACCGAATTGTCACCTGTGATGAAAAGTGGATCATGTATGATAACAGGAGACGTTACGGACAGTAGGTTGGATGCCGACGAACCACCGAGGCTATTTCCAGAGCCGAATCTTCACCGAAAAAGGTTATGGTCACAGTGTGGTGGTCATCGGCTGGTGTGATCCACTATAACTTTTTGTCACCAGGCCAAACCATCACAGCAGAGTCCTACTGTGAAGAAATCGACGAAATGTACCGAAAATTGCGTCAGCTGCAGCCAGCACTTGTCAACAGAAAGGGTCCGATTCTTTTGCATGACAAC